GACGGCAAAACACCGCTGTTCGGGAGTTTAAGATGGCCGCCGCCACGTGTTCGTCTCCCGAACAGCGGCCACCCAGAGGACACAGCACACACTACACTGATTGCCAATTACGGATTTGTAACATTGTGGTGGTCTGAATGTTCGATAGTTTCACTCGTATAATAAACGGAGTGATTTTACCGAACAATCAGACGAATGCTGCATACAAAACATATATATATATACACGGCAAAAATTAAACAAAAGCCTGTTACATGTGTGTATGTGCATAAACCGTTAATCGCTATTCCATGTTAGCATTAGGTATTTCAGGAGAAATGATATGAGTGCAAGGTTCTTAAAGTCTCTTTCCACTTGAAAACACGTTGTGGACATTTTATATTGTATTTTACTAAAGGTATTTGTGTCACTTCCTCGCTGTGAGTTGCCGTTTTACTTTTTTTTTTTTATTATTACTTTATTTTACCTGGCTTCTGAGTTTTATCCTGTTCCAGTGAGATATTACTCCAAAGAATCCTAGGTGGGGATTATACCACTCAAGCCCTATACACTGAGCAGTCTGTCTGCTCGTGTAAATGTGAGTAACCACTTTATATTTTATTTTCTGCTTTGCTGATTTTAAATAGAGAACACTATTGCTTTTCCTTTTTATTTCATATGACATTCCCTCAGACAAGACACCACCTCATGTATCCTATAAGTGGGGATATCACTGTTCGCACTTCATACTAGAGCTAGACCATTAGCTCTATAATCATATAAGACTTTTATCAGAATAACACCTGATTGTTGAATATACTGCACCATTAGTTGTCTCTTTTATTTTTACATATGGAGTGTAAGAAGATCTTACGGAGCTGTTATCCCATATTCTACATTTTTGTTGGCTTCTACCTACAGTCCCCCAAAAGACATTCTTGAACTCTACTACTGAACTTTTAATCACTTAGACTATATTATTACATTTATCTAGTTTGCTCATTATTACGGACGCCACCTATCTACTACCCTCTGCCCTATTGCTTTGTCTACCTGTAAGGCCTTCTGAGGGAGCATTACTAGCCAATTATCCATTGTTTTATCTGTACCAATACGTTGAGCGCTGACCCATCTCTACCCTCTTTTTTCCCCTTTTAAGAGTTAACTCAGAGGACTGTTGAGATGGTTGTGAACCGCAAAGGGTTAAAATTGCATGGGAAGCGTGTATTTTATATAGGGGTATTTTACTTTGGTTAGCAATTTTAAAATGGACATTTATGATGTACTATTTCAAATGCAAGTCCTCCATCTCATGGCATCCTGACCAGGAAATCCTTCTACCTCGACTGGATCTTTCCCCCAGGCCCATCTGGCACTTCGGCATACTTCTTGGAGTTTTACTGGTAAGCCACAGCCAGCACAAGCTGTATGCAAAGCAAAGGAGCTATCTGTCTCAATTAAGTACTTATAGTGCCTGGCAACCCCTGGCACTGCTTTACCCTCTAGTGTTAAACTGTTTTTTAATTAGTTTAAAACAAAGAGTTAAAAGGGATCCATCATGCTGCCTCTCCTTTGGTGCCTGGCTAGTGTAGAAACATTCAGTCAAGAGCTGATGGGAGGCAATGATAGGTTGAGAGCGTTAGATGACACTCTGGGCCCATCACTGGGCGCCTATTACAAGTAGAAGTAAGCTGTACCTATTGAGATTGTGTGATTATAGTGCCCACATGACAAGTGGTTTAGGGTAGCTTTAACCCCTTAAGGACACATGACATGTGTGACATGATTCCCTTTTATTCCAGAAGTTTGGTCCTTAAGGGGTTAAAGCAGTTATACAAATACTGGTTTCTCCACACTTTGCAATATATAAAATATTACACATACTTGTTGCCAACATCCTCTCCATGGACTACATTTCCATCTACGATAGTAAAGGAGCCAATGCCTGGAGAAGAAAGAGAAATTAAGGGAAATGTAACAATATGGAAAAACACAGTTTTGGAAAACTGCTTGAGGGATTGTAGAATATGCAAAATTCTGATTTCTCTGATTTATACGTAACACTCAGGAAGTGAAGCAGGGAATTATTTGACACCAGAACCCCTACAGCTTAATGTAGAGGTTCTGGTAAGAGACTGTCTTTGAAGTTTCTCTTTTTTTGCCCAGACATGCCCTATTGCAGTTAGAGCACAGTACCTGTACAGCCATGCGCTCCCATGTCCCTCAAAGTCTGCACCATGGGTGGGTGCAGTTCACTTTAAATGTTCCTTCATATTCCACAACCAGAAGGCACATATACAGTGTGTAGGTTTTTTTTATTTATTTTTTACACTTATATTCTAAATTATGGGGAGGTTGGAACAAACACAGCCACGGGCACTCACTCTGTCACATACTACTGATACTACTGGGTGCTGTAATCTGCCAGCAGCAAATGTGTAGGATGTAATAAATTATGTTTGTCTGTGCTCATTTTCATGTCAAGGTGGGAACTATGGGATAGATGTGGATCCCCAGCGATTGTAGAACCCCAATGGTGCTCCTTTACACATTCTCTGAGCCAATCACAATGCTTTCCAATAGGATTGGATGAGACTGTCAAGGAGGAAGATCGAGGGCAGAGCCAGCACAAGTCAAACACAGCACTGGTCAATTAGCATCTCCTCATAGAGATAAATTGAATTAATGCATCTCTATGAGGAAAGTTCAGTGTCTCCATGCAGAGGGTGAAGACACTGTCAGCACTGCCTCAGGAAGCACCTCCAGCAGCCATCTGAGGAGTGGCTAATGGAGTTATCCCTAGGCTGTAAAGTAAACACTGCATTTTCTCTGAAAAGACAGTGTTTACTGCAAAAAGCCTGAAGGCATTCATTCTACTCACCAGAACAAATACAATCCTTACAGCTCATTGTAGTGACTATGGTAGGAGTATTCAGACACCAAATACAATCTTTACAGCTCATTGTAGTGACTATGGTAGGAGTATTCAGACACCAAATACAATCCTTACAGCGCATTGTAGTGACTATGGTAGGAGTATTCAGACACCAAATACAATCCTTACAGCTCATTGTAGTGACTATGGTAGGAGTATTCAGACACCAAATACAATCTTTACAGCTCATTGTAGTGACTATGGTAGGAGTATTCAGACACCAAATACAATCCTTACAGCGCATTGTAGTGACTATGGTAGGAGTATTCAGACACCAAATACAATCCTTACAGCTCATTGTAGTGACTATGGTAGGAGTATTCAGACACCAAATACAATCCTTACAGCTCATTGTAGTGACTATGGTAGGAGTATTCAGACACCATCCTCCTGGTTTGCGTCAAACCTTTTCTTGGAATTTTAATTTGAAACAGGGCTCTGCAGTTCAGCTAATTCAGAAGTGAACTTCTGCAGTAGCTGTGCAACTTTGGGCAGCAATGGTAGGATGAGAGCCTGGTGCTAACCCACTCCCAGCATTCTCAGCCTATCATTGCTGTCAAAGATTTGACTAATTCAGGAGTTACTTAGGCATTAGCTTAGCCGCAGCATGTAGGCCAATCTGATAAGAAAACCAGGTCTCTCCTGGCACATACAATCTGCTCAAATGTAGTTCAATACAAAACTGGGAACTGGCATCCACTGATTCTTTGCACCATGACCTCTACAATGTGCTTTAGTGGTTATGATACTTGGAGTGAAAATCTAAATATAATCATCATTTATATATAGTTACATAGTTACATAGCTGAAAAGAGACTTGCGTCCATCAAGTTCAGCCTTCCTCAGAAATGTTGTTGCTGTTGATCCAAAAGAAGGCAAAAAACCTGGTCTGAAGCACTTCCAATTTTGCCACAAACTAGGAAAAATTCCTTCTTGACCCCAAAATAGCAGTCAGATGTCTCCTTGGATCAATCAGCTATTACCCCACTAATTAGAAATTATATCCCTGTATGTTATGTTTTTGTAAGTATTTATCCAATTTCAGTTTAAACATCTGTATGGACTCTGACAAAACCACCTCTTCAGGCAGAGAATTCCATATCCTTATTGTTCTTACTGTAAAAAACCTTTTCTTTGCCTTAGATGAAATCTCCTTTCTTCCAGCCTAAATGTGTGACCTCGTGTCCTATGTATAACCCTGTTTATGAATAGATTTCCAGATAAAGGTTTGTACTGGCCCCGAATATATTTGTATAAAGTTATCATATCCCCTCTCAGGCGCCGTTTTTCCAAACGAAACAGATTTAATTTTTGTATGTTCATCTCAAATCATGCTAAGTACTTACCAGGAAGTACCAAATTTTTCAGAATCTCTGTCCCAGTAGCTGTGGCATTTATCAGGCAGACATGAGCAGATTCCAACGCTCCCTGACCATGGTCCCCCCACAGCCTGGAGAGCATAGAAATTGTTAATACCAAATGGTTAAAATTACAGTCATAGCACAAACTTTAATTAGGGACCAGTGTAAAAATCATATTTTGTAGTTTTTGTTAACGGTATTAGTCTGGTCGTGTAGTTACAAAAATAAGAATCTTTCGATATCATGGAATAGTTTTAATGGTATTTTTATGAACACATTTATTTTTTATTTAGGTCCTAAAAAGCTGCATTACGTACACTACATAAAACAGTACTTAAATCACTGTATATAGATGTTGTAAAAAGGCTGGTCTTGGCACCACGTATTAAACAGGTTACCTGTACACATTATGTAGGAATTGTGTGTATGTGATGTATTGCATATACATTACTCACTACTGCTGCACTGTGTGCAATAGACAACGCATTGTGTGCATGCTGTGCCAGTCACACATTGTGTATAGTGTGACTGGCACTGTGTAAATGCTTTCTATACAGGGATGCACTGTATATATCACAAATTGAATGGCTTATATGCTTTATATAAATAGCTGCAGTATATAAAGGGATGGACTGTGTATAATGTACATGCTATATGTAGCAGATTGCATTAAGGCTGTTCTCAAGAATTCGTATTAAAAATGTATTTGTGTAATTGTTCCCTGTATACACAGCATGCACACTACACACAGTATACAGGGAGGGATACTGTGTATAGTGTACATGCTGTATATAAGGAGGGATACTGCGTATAGTGTACACACTGTATATACAGGGAGGGATACTGCGTATAGTGTACATGCTGTATATACAGGGAGGGATAGTGTGTATAGTGTACATGTTGTATCTACAGGGAGGGATACTGTGTATAGTGTACATGCTGTGTATACAGGGAGGGATACTGTGTATAGTGTACATGCTGTATATACAGGGAGGGATACTGTGTATAGTGTACATGTTGTATATACAGGGATGGATATTGTGTATAGTGTACATGCTGTATATACAGGGAGGGATACTGTGTATAGTGTACATGCTGTATATACAGGGAGGGATACTGTGTATAGTGTACATGCTGTATTTACAGGGAGGGATACTGTGTATAGTGTGCATGCTGTATATACAGGGAAGGATACTGTGTACATGCTGTGTATACAGGGAGGGATACTGTGTACATGCTGTACATACAGGGAGGGATACTGTGTACATGCTGTGTATACAGGGAGGGATACTGTGTATAGTGTACATGCTGTGTATACAGGGAGAGATACTGTGTATATTGTACATGCTGTATATACAGGGAGGGATACTGTGTATAGTGTACATGCTGTATATACAGGGATGGATACTGTGTATAGTGTACATGTTGTATATACAGGGATGGATACTTTGTATAGTGTACATGCTGTATATAAGGGAGGGATACTGTGTATAGTGTACATGCTGTATATACAGGGATGGATACTGTGTATAGTGTACATGCTGTATATAAAGGGAGGGATACTGTGTATAGTGTGCATGCTGTATATACAGGGAAGGATACTGTGTACATGCTTTGTATACAGGGAGGGATACTGTATACATGCTGTGTATACAGGGAGGGATACTGTGTATAGTGTACATGCTGTATATACAGGGATGGATACTGTGTATAGTGTACATGTTGTATATACAGGGATGGATACTGTGTATAGTGTACATGCTGTATATACAGGGAGGGATACTGTGTATAGTGTACATGCTGTATATACAGGGATGGATACTGTGTATAGTGTACATGCTGTATATACAGGGAGGGATACTGTGTATAGTGTGCATGCTGTATATACAGGGAAGGATACTGTGTACATGCTGTGTATACAGGGAGGGATACTGTGTACATGCTGTACATACAGGGAGGGATACTGTGTACATGCTGTGTATACAGGGAGGGATACTGTGTATAGTGTACATGCTGTGTATACAGGGAGGGATACTGTGTATAGTGTACATGCTGTATATACAGGGAGGGATACTGTGTATAGTGTACATGCTGTATATACAGGGATGGATACTGTGTATAGTGTACATGTTGTATATACAGGGATGGATACTGTGTATAGTGTACATGCTGTATATACAGGGAGGGATACTGTGTATAGTGTACATGCTGTATATACAGGGATGGATACTGTGTATAGTGTACATGCTGTATATACAGGGAGGGATACTGTGTATAATGTGCATGCTGTATATACAGGGAAGGATACTGTGTACATGCTGTGTATACAGGGAGGGATACTGTGTACATGCTGTGTATACAGGGAGGGATACTGTGTACATGCTGTGTATACAGGGAGGGATACTGTGTATAGTGTACATGCTGTATATACAGGGATGGATACTGTGTATAGTGTACATGTTGTATATACAGGGATGGATACTGTGTGTAGTGTACATGCTGTATATACAGGGATGGATACTGTGTATAGTGTACATGCTGTATATACAGGGATTGATACTGTGTATAGTGTACATGCTGTATATACAGGGATGGATACTGTGTATAGTGTACATGCTGTATATACAGGGAGGGATACTGTGTATAGTGTGCATGCTGTATATACAGGGAAGGATAATGTGTACATGCTGTGTATACAGGGAGGGATACTGTGTATAGTGTACATGCTGTATATACAGGGAGAGATACTGTGTATAGTGTGCATGCTGTATATACAGGGAAGGATACTGTGTACATGCTGTATATACTGGGAGGGATACTGTGTATAGTGTACATGATGTATATACAGGGAGGGATACTGTGTATAGTGTACATGCTGTATATACAGGGAGGGATACTGTGCATAGTGTACATGCTGTGTATACAGGGAGGGATACTGTGTATAGTGTACATGCTGTGTATACAGGGAGGGATACTGTGTATACTGTGTACATGGTGTATATACAGGGAGGGATACTGTGTATAGTGTACATGCTGTATATACAGGGAGGGATACTGTGTACATGCTGTATATACAGGGAGGGATACTGTGTATAGTGTACATGCTGTATATACAGGGAGGGATACTGTGTATAGTGTGCATGCTGTATA